TACTCTCTAAATTGTTTTCCTTTGAATATATGGTCTATTAATCTTTCTCTCTCTCTTTTTCTTCTTGTCTTCTTATCTCCTTATCTTTTTATTCCTTTATTTTTTTTCTTATCTTACAACTACTTGGAGAGGGACCTAAACTTTCATGTTTATTTTGATCTTTATTTCCTTCTTTTCTTATTGTTTCACTCAATAATCTTTTTTATTCATCTTAATTTTTTGGTTTTTGAAAATTCATCATTTAAAAATATGAATAAGATATGTTAAAAGGTAAAAAAATTAAAAAAAAGAAGGAAATGGCTATAAATTAGTTAGAATGCATCTTATTTAGAAAATTTTGTGTTTTTTTGAAAATATATTAAAAATTGGGTAAAATATGACCATGACATCAATTGGGTAGCATTTGGGCCTAACAACTTAAATAGAGAGGAATGAAAGAAATAAAAAGAATGAGAGATGGCGTGAAAATTAAAGGATAGGATACAAGAAAAAAGAGAAGAAAAAATTAGTTGTTGCATGACTTTGATTACAACATGTACTAGATATTAAGAACTTTCTAGAGATGAAGTCAAAGATGTCGAAAAAGACCTCGATTGAATGCTGTAATAAGTCTCACACATCCTTAGAAGACAATAGGCATCGTGTATGACTAGATATATATTTTTCTATCTTTTGATTCAAATTGATTCTACACCAGATCTTTAATTCATTCCTTCATGAAAGCATAATTGGGTCCATTGAAGGCTCAACTAAAAAGAAAAGAAGAAAAGAAAAATTAAAAAAAAGAAATAAAAAACAAAAAAAAGATGATAGCCATATCAATTCTAATAATGCTGAAAACCCATCAATCCTTTTCATTTTTCCTAAGAGATGACAAATTTAAGCATACTAATTCCATCATAACCATCTAACTAAATTCTCATTATACAAGTTATTAATGTGACACCCATTTACATTCTTCATTTAACAAGTTATTAGTGTGATGCCCACCTAATTTCCATATTTTTACAGGTTATCAGTATAGTGCCTATTTATTTTGCAAGTCAATAATGCCTAACAATTCATCTTATATTCTAGGTTTGCAGTCTTTAATGATAGAACAAATACTTTCTATGATTACTTCTATGAGTACATCTATGACCTTATAACTTGCAACACAAATACATATGATCTAAGGTAAATAAACATGTAAGGATCACCGAGTATAGAACATAAAAAAAACATGTTACAACACAAACCTCTATATACAATCACCTAAACAAAATACTCGTGCATCTTTTCTTCCCATTCTACACATTACTATTCTTTTTGGTGGTAAGATATTCATATCCCATTTTAAGAGTATAAATACCAGATGCTAAACCTACCTATGTTAAGAAATCATGAACTCTTGCATATCTAGCAAGTGTGGAAAGTCTATTACATGTCATGAGAATATGATCACTACTAGAAGAGCTAACAACGACGCCAACAATCACGAGTCATTAGGTGTCAACCATGACTCGGGATTGTTATATGTGATGTTGCAACATTGAAGAGGAGTCCCTTCACAAGGAGATCTATTTACACTTAACTTAAGTATGAGGCCTAGTGGAAATATGAATTTTTAATCTAAGTTTGGTTTGCTTTTACAACGACATGTTTAATATTTTTTTTAAATAATTTTATTTAATGAAAGCAATTTCAGGTTTATAAACATTGAAGCTATAAGAACAATAACTTTGACCTTTAAATCTTAGATGGAACCAAACATCCTAAATGAAAAATACAAGTCGATGAATGATTTTTAAGATTTAAAGTCAATATTAACTTAAATATTTTTTATTATGTTAATTTGGTTAGTTTATTGAAATTGCTGAAATTTTTCTTTTATAAATTTTTACTGCAAGAGAAAATTTGAATAGGAGAGAGCTAATGATAATATTGCAAAGAAGGGTTCGAAGAATCATGCTGCAACTAGGTAAGATCTAAATCATGATATTTTTTATTTATTTCAAGAATTAAAATTTTATTTTTCATTTACTAAAAGATAATTTATTGGTAACATATTGTTGCATGATTTTTGGTATGAGACACAAAAGAAAACAAAAAAATATGCAAGAGAAAGCAAGTTTCCAACATGGAATGATGTAGTAGTTTGAAAGGGTTTTAGATCGCCATATATCTCGAAGGTTGTATGGGCGGACTACATTCAGGATGTAACATCTGCACGTTTCACTTTATGGTCACAGTCCGGTGCAAAGAACCAACACCGACGTGTTCACAACCATTAATATGCATATTGACAACTCTATTCCATTCGTTTCGTATGTGAAACAAATAGTAAGATTTTTTTTATTACTTCTATTTTTTATGCAAAACAAATAATAATTTTTTTTTATTACCTTCATTTTTTTATTTCTTATTTTTAATAAATATATTTAATTGATAATATTGTTATTTTTTATTTTTTATTTTTTATAAATATATTTAATTGATAACATTGTTATCTTGCAGACTATAATTCTTGGATGTAAGTTAAGCTTGAAGAAGCTTTTTGTAGAAACGCATGTGTGAAGTGATGACTGCCAAAAAGAGGCGTAACAGTTCGTGGATAGTTGAGCTCAACAATTTTTGATTTGTTGGTTTTTAACAATTTTTTTATTAAGTTATAATTTCCTTTAATTTGTTTAATTTGATGAATTTATTTTTTCTTTGCAGGATACATATAATAACCATATAAAGAAGATATACGGGGATGATCCTTTGACCAATTTAGATCTCTATCTGCATTTGTGGTTAAAGGTAGGATTGTCTGGTGGACCCGATAGAAATTGAGTGTATAAAATCTCTAACACTACAGCCGAGAACTTATAGAAAACCCATAATATTTCGATTGTTAGATGCTTGCAATTAGTTCCGAGCACTCAAACTCTCAAGTTCGAAGGGATGTTCGACCAATTAGTATATGATCAAATGACCCATCTTAATTAAAAATATGAACGTCTTACTGCAGATTATGAAGAATTCCACTACGTGGTAATAAAGATGAGATCACATATGAGTGGTCTATATGCTCCTTCTTATTAGCCTAATAGTCCCAGTGACAACTAGCCTCCTTATCCTCTAGCACCCCTTTTATTTTATATTTATTGCATTTGATTGTATATATGTTTAAATTCATAATAAATATTTAATTTTTTTATTATTTGAAAATTCTTTTTTTTTTATATTTGATTATAATTTATTTTAATTAATTTTTCTACTTCTGTTCAATATATATTTCTTAAGACAATTGAAAAAGAATTACTGCAAGTATCACTATTACTGTTAACTCTTCGACATAATTATAGATGATATTTTGTTAGTGATATGTTATATTTATCGATAAATATATTGATGAAAAAATATAAACACCAACAAAATTGAATGCAATATTTTGTTGGTTACATATCAAACTTGAAATACTAATAGAATGAAGCGAGTAAATATTTTTATAGCGCATTTTGTCCATCTATAGATCCATAAGTAAATTTACTACCGACAAGAGTTTTTTTGACAAAATGTTTTTATCAGTGAGCTCGTCGATAAAATATTTATTGATGAACCGTGAGTGTAAACATTGACGAAAATTTTTGTCGGTAAAACTATTAAATCTGATAGTGTTGAATGATCATTCTTTTTACATTTTTTTTTCTAATCTTAATTGAGTTTCTATTTATTTTGTTTTCTTCATTTGTCTGATATTTCATCTTTTTTGTTCTCTTTTTTTTTTTTTGCCTATCCTTTTGCTCTCTATTTTTTTTTTCAATTTTTATGATTTTAAAAATATGTTGGAATTGGGGTCAAGATGGGTTATAATATACCATAGTCCATCATATGACGAGAATACCTTAAAGAACAAGTAGGGAGCCATTGCCATACCATTAGCCAAAGAAAGACTAATTTTTGGAGGGAACCTGAAGCCTTCGAATGAACTTCCACTTTGGGCGCGAGCTACCATGATGGGAAAGGAATTATGGTAAGTAGAGTTGGTTTAAGTTAAAGGTTACTCGGTGAATGGTTCAAGGTTATCACTAAATAAAAAGTCTTATAAATAAGATATATTTATTAATTATGATTTATAAAATAAAAATTGCTTTCACTTTACAAAAAAACTCCTCAAATATGAAATGAAAATTGTCCAAACCCTCACCTGTCAAACATATATAAAAAATAAAAAAAATATATTTCACAAATATTTCAAAAAATTGCATTTATAGTTTTATTCAAGACCCTATTAACCTTAAACAGACTCTAGGGTTGAGATATTCATATCCCAACTTAGGAGTATAAATACCAGATACTAAACCTTCCCATTTTAAGCCATCATGAACTCCTGCATATCTAGCAAGGGGTGTAACTCTAATCAAATCAACAATTAAAGTTGGATAAATAGTATGAACCTCCCAAAATCCCAGGAATGATTAGGAGAAGTAATGTCAGGCATCAATAAGGACTTATGAGAAGGATGAATCTGATCCGCCAATTATTAATAACAATCCACTGGTCATACCAAAAGGGAAATATATCTAACATTGCCTAACTTGCCATGAATAATCTTCCCTTAAAAAAGAGGAGGCTTTTAAACTAGCAGGCCAAGGTGGAGAGATTTTGTGACCTCTAGAAAAGAAAAGATAATATATCTAATACTTTTTTTTTTAAGAAATTCTTTCGTAGATATATATATATATATATATATATATATATCAATTAATTTCTTATCAATTGGAGCATATTCCAACTTTTTGTAAGGTCATTAGAACTATAATACTGCTCCCCACGTATTTTGTGAAGGCAATTTGAAGTTCATTTGAATTGCCAACCACGTATAATATTCCTTCCCTAATGTGCACCAAAATTTCTCACACGTATCTTTTCTTTTCTTTTTTTAATCCCAAACCAGAAAAACAAATGTGAAGCATCCTTTCTATAAAATGCCTTCCTAGCGACCAGCCTCCCCATCAATAATCAGTAATTTCGTACATCTTTCTTCGTGCTTTGCATTGCAATGGCTGTAACCCCCTTTTTCTTCGCAACCTCTATCCTTCTTTTGTCATCCTTGGTCATTACTTCTGCTAATGATTATAGCTATGACACGAAGACAGACAGTGTTAAACCTGGCTATCACCCAAAATCAGACGCAAATTATGATAGCACCCCGAAACCAGACTTCCCCAAGCCTACATTAACCATACCAAAATCAGACAACGAAAAACCAAATTATGGGTATGATTCAATCCCAGAAGCTCCACTCCCCACTGGGATTGAAGGTCTTGTTCTTTGCAAATCAGGCTCTAATTATATTCCCATTAAAGGTAATCTCTCTGCACCCAATATATTTTTATGCTCTGTTACATTACAGCTTTTATAGTTAAAGTCACTTGATTCTGACTGTGTGCGTGGAGAGTTCTCATTTGTTTAAAATAACATTGTATCTGAATTTCCTGAACTGGACATTAGCATCACTCTGGTGACAATAAATCATCTTATTTGTCTTACAAAAAGTGAGGCAAAGGTTATCCACCTTAAATTATCTTTTATCATGTGCAGGAGCTTTGGTAAGGATAGCATGCATGGCTGTGGACCAGAACGGATATGAGACAACACCTTTCTCATGCTTGACTGGGGCAACTGATGCAAACGGTTACTATTACAAAACATTGCCTGCTTTTGGACTTGGTGATTTGAAAGTCACAGAATGCAAGGCCTACCTTGAAAGTTCTCCATTGGAGACCTGCAAAATCCCAACAGATGTCAACAATGGCATGAGCGGTGCCCTTCTTTCTTCCTATCACATCCTCAGTAGCAAAAACATTAAATTGTATTCTATGAGAACTTTCTTCTACACCTCCGAAACAACACCAACTCCTGCCGGTGGTTATTAAATTTCTTCTTGGTTTACCTTATTTTTTATTTTTCATACATTTGGGATGGGAATTTGATCGCATTCTTATTGTTTATTTAGTTTAATTTACTTTGATTGTCTTGATTTATTGCTCAATATATTTGAATTTTAAGATTGTAATAAACTTGGTTCTTTATACATCAAGAAGTTAAAGAACTTGTTATTTTTTATTTCTTTGTAGATAAGCAGCTTCGCAATAATTTTAATTTGATTTCAGCTGCACCAGTAAATGGACTTTTGTGAAAAAAGGTTTGCGGAAAGCCCAAACTTATACTGAACCCCTCGTTATTATAGCTTTGCAAATGGACCTTTTCTTCTCTTCGAATAATAAGGTTTATGAATTTTATTAAAGAAGTAAAACTGTAAAAGTGCATGTTCATTTCACTCTTTTGTGCCGCGTTACAAAAACGATTGAATCATTACGTGTCCTTTCTCTCTTTTTCTTGTCTTACTATCCTATGCATAACATATTTCAAGAAAAAAATATTATATTGAAAGCCTAATCCTATTGAAAAAAAAAATCACCTTCTCAATATTTATGTATTAATATTTTATTGTAAATTTACACAATAAAATAATTATTTTATTTTTTTAAATAAAATTTATTAATTTTCTTTAATGACATTCATAGTTTATTAGTTATTATCAAATTAATCATAAAGAAATTAATCTTCATAATTTTTTGTAACGGTTTGTACCGCATTACAAAACCATTGAATTATTAGGTGTCCTTTCTCTTTCTTTTTCTTGTCTTTTTATTTTATGGATAACATATTTCAAATATATATATATATATATATAGAGGATGGGGGGATTTCAAGAAAAAAAAATTGTATTGAAAGCCTAATCCCATTGAAAAAAAAACTTAGCTTCTTAATATGTATACACTTATATTTTCCTGTGAATTTGTACAGTAAAATAATTATTTTACTTTTTGTAAATGAAATTCATTAATTTTTTTTGGTAAAATGATTTTTTATTCATAGTTTATTGATTATTATCAAATTAACCACGGAGAAATTAATCTTCACATATATTTTTTTATAGTAAAACAACTTGTTTATTTTTAAAAGCAAAAAATATAAAATTGCCTTCAAGGGTTTTTTAGTTTTTTTTTATAAATAATAAAAAGATTTAATTACCCTCAAAATCATAAAATTATTAAACTAGCATCAATGAGCTTTTTCAACTTTTCCTTAAGTGTTTTTTTATTATAATTATATTGATTGAGAAGCAATTTAGTGCTGATTTAGTAACGTGGCTACGAGTGAGGTTCATCTGCAATCACATTGAATATCGTTTGGTAAGGAAAAAAATTGCCTCCCACTGGTAGAACCCACTAAAAATCAAGATGAGACCACAGGTTTTGAAGAAGCAGCAAAATGCTACTTCTCGTGGGGCAGGAAGCTGTACAGTGGAGCATGGCTCCATTATGCAGTGCGAGTGAATTAATTCACTCGCACTTGTTTTTTTAAATCAGTTGCGAGTGAATTAATTCACTCGCACTGTTCACTAAACTTAAATTTTTTTTTTTGAAAAACCAGTGCGAGTGAATTAATTTACTCGCACTATTCACGTGAAAAGTTTGATTTTTTTTAAAAAAATCAGTGTAGTTAATTGATTTCACTCGCATTATTGAACGTGAAAAGTAATTTTTTTTTTTTAAAAAAACTAGTTTAAGGTGAATTAAATTAGCGCGTACTATAATCTCAATTTTATTCTCAATAATATTGTACCTAATTTTATTGCACGCTCAAAACATCATGAAAACTGTAGTTCTTGTCAAATGAATTTTGTACGTAATGAAATTGTAATTTTTTTTTAAACAGTTGAGTTTTACTCGAAAAACTAGTATTTAATATTATTTAATAATACTATATACATTATAAGGATATTGCATGGTGATGTAATATTTATGGAATTTGACCACAATTCCAATTATGTTCTTGCCTTGTCTCACTCAGTTAAAAAAATTAGTTTTTATGTTTATTTTAATTGTATTTTATTCAAAAAATTAGAAGAAAATCGCTTAATGACGAGTGAATTAATTCAACTTTTATTGTTGCGTGCTCAAGAAACCATAGAAAATATAGTCAATTTTAGTTCTTAAACTCATCAATCAATCCTTTCATTTATGTGATAGGCCTGTATTTAAAATGAATATTTACTATAAATTAAAGGCGTCGTATATTATTAGATATGTTATTATAAAACATGCTTTAGTTAAGGAGTTATTGATACTTCAAGTTTAAAATGATGATATAAAATTTTAATAAAAATGCACTTTTAAGTACTAATCACCCCCCCAACCAGCTGATTACTAGTCCCTAGTAATCAAAGTGTTAAAATAGAAAAACAATTTGCAAATTTCACAAAGTAAGGTATTCATCATTCAACTTTCATTAATTTATCTAGATAAACAAACTCATTAAATTTATATATCTACTCAATACTTCTTAAACAAGATATTAATAAACCTTTCTTTTGTACTCAATATATCAACACATAGTTATAGAGCTTTTTTTGAAAGAAAACAAAAATTTTGTTCTAATATTTAAGGTTAACTTTCTTGAGTTGAGATTATTATTTTTTTATTTATTTTTATTTTTTAATATATATACATATAACTTAAAACACCATGCATTTTTAACCCATGTAAGGAGCTTTTGACTAATAACTCTCAGACTAATTGGTCTTAGGGCATTAGGTATTGAGACACCCCTACAAGTTTAGTAACTCGAGTTGCAGATACTGATACGTAGATAGTGCAATGTTTGATTTTCTTAAGCTTTTCTCCTTAATCCATGTAACAGGTGTTGAGCCAATAGCTCCCAAGTCAATTGACTTTAGGGTATTAGGTGTTAAAACACTCTTTTGAGCTTAATTGCTTAGGTTAGGGAGGCTACAAAACCAAACTTATCTATATTTTTATTATCATCATTTTTTTTGCTCTTTTCTTGTTTTTTTTTTTCAAATTATATACTATCCTTTTCCCTTAGTTGTTACCTTTAACAAAAGAACATAAATAATGTAATAATCCAATGTGCAATCCACAATCATATGTTAAAGTATGTATGTGAAAATTAAGGTTTAAGAATACAAGTTAAATGAGTATATAAGCATAATTAAGTGATAACAATGCGGAAGTTTGTAAACTTGAATATTTCAAGAAGTATTATAATAGACCTTGTTAAAAATGGTTACTAAGATGCGTTTCAAGAGTCACTTTAACAAAATAGTTCCTTTACTTTGCCATCCTAGTAACAACTAGTTTGCACATGCTTTATGAAATAGAAAACATAATTAGTTAATTTTTTTTTTGTCAACTACTACCCTCTCCCCCCAACCAAAACAAGACATTGTCCTCAATGTCCTAACATAGAAAAATAGAGTATAGAAGATATCACCTAAAATAATAAACATTGAAAAACATAAAACACACTTAAACAAATATAAGAAACAATAAAACATAATAATAAAACCAAAAGAAATAAAGATTCATAAATGAATGCCCAAATCCAATCTAAGCTTTTTATGGCTTTCCTTAGATACCAATTTTTGCGACTCATGAAAGGATCAATTACAAGAATGAAAGATTGTAGTTAGTCAATCAATTGTTCAGCAATAGTAGCAGAGATTATGATTGGTCGTGCTGAAGATGTTAGAAATTCCTGTTCTACAGCATGATCAAGAAACGATAACAACTTATTATAATAACCATTAACATTTAACAGACATATGAGTTTATGGTGAATGTGCAGTTGGGCCTAAGATAAAATATGAAAGATCTTTTTCAATATGTTGAGACTACCTGGTAAGGCAATAAAGACATTAGTATTGTTAAACATTGCATTTATTGGAGCAGACATTATGAAGACTTGTAGTTTCTCTCCAATTATTTTTCCAATGATGTCCCATTGTGCTAAAGCTTTAGGAACGACCCTTAAAACTTGACTACCTCTTAAAAATACAGCTATTGACACACCTCCCATTAATCTAAGACTGCCACTCATACACTAAATGAATCTTTCTCTCAGCTAGCACCTGACCAAGATGATTTGTTGATTCTAAAAACTCCTTTTCTTTTCCAGGACTAGATCTACCGAAAACATAAATATTTTTTATATGATGATCTAAAAAACTTGTCATTTCTACACATTTCTATATTTGTTGAATGTATGGGTTGAGTAGAAATGAACAGAAGGAAGAGGGGATTTTATAGATGAGAAATTAAAAAGGCAATCATACCACTTATATGTAGGTCAGCTGGAGTCTCACACACACACTCTCTCTTTAATTTATTTATTTATTTTTGAAAAAGCATATGTATGTATAGGTAGTTATGATTGTAGCTCACATCTTCCTTTAATTTTATGTCCAAGAACAACTTAAACACCCTTTATGGGTTAGGGACAAGCTTCCCATCCAGTCTTCTTAAAATTGGCAAACATGGTCTTTTTTAGTCAGATTTCCAAGACGAATTCGATCATGTTCTTTATGAAAATGGAGCCATAAATCATGAATTGCACGATACACATCTCCACTAGGATACGTCTCAAGAGTTAATAGAAGATTATCTAAAGACTCCTTACTCATGCCATCCTTAATGAATTGTATTTTATCTTCACGGTTTATAGATACCATTCATAAAAAATGACATTGTGCATTACATGTCCATCTAGCACATCGATGACAGACTTTCAGTCATTTTGCACGACGTTTCATCGATGCCCTATGTCATCATTTCGCACTTGAAGTATCAATAACTCCTTAACTAAAGCATGTTTTATAATAAGATATCTAATAAAGGATTGATTGATGAGTTTAAGAACTAAAATTGAAAGGACAAAGAGATGGCCAAACTTAGAAAAGAGATGCTAGTGCAGTCCAAACAGGAATACTATTCGGCAATTAGGTCAGATTTGAAGCTCTAGATCTCAGATTTAGGTCTACTTTATATAGATAAAAATGTAAGAAAAAGGCCTATAATTTCATAAAAAGCTCAAAATTTAAAAAGGTCATTTTCAAGTCCAAATTATAGCAAGAACAAAGAAGACCGAATCTGTCCTACAACCTGAACACTATTTAGTGTTTAGCCCATATCTAGAGTTCTAGAAGTCTAAATGACCTTTATTGTT